TATGGATCTATGAAATCCCACACCCAGCAAAAGACTTTTGCAATGTTGTGGGCAATCACCTGGAGAGAAGATGGCAGGAGAGCGGCCCGTTATGGCCTCCTGACGCTTCCTGGCAAACTCCGTTATCTTCCAGATGAAAACACCATCGTAGGTGGAAGCCTCCATGCTGCGGATCTTCTCCTCCATCTCGGCCATGGCCAGGTCTTTGAGCCCAATGCTCCTCTCCAGCTGCCGGACCTGCTCAGTGGGACACACGGTGCAGCCTGGTTAGAGACACATCCTGCTGTGAGACCCCCGCAGACACCCATAACCCCTTCAGAAGAGGGCTGCAGTGAGAGACCTTCTCCAGAAATGACTGGGGTCATGAGAAGAAGAAATTTAGCATCACAAGGCAATTCCCCAAAGCTTCCTTTTGAACCCTTGTCATTCTGGAGAAGGTGCATTGCTACAACTCAGTGCCTGAGCTGGAAACTTGCTCATGGAAAAGTCCTCCCAACAAGCAGCTCCGTTATGTGAGCAGCACAAGAACTGAGGATGAGGGAGGAAAAACCCCAACCCTCAGCACTGTGACAAAACTTGACCGAGAGAAGAACCTTTGAGTGGAGCATCTCCTGCTGAGGAGCGGCTGAGGGAGCTGGGGCTCTTGAGCTTGGAGCAGAGGAGACTGAGGGGTGCCCTCATTCCTGGGGATCCATTGGGAAAGGGCAGTGTCAGGAGGAAGGAGCCAGGCTCTGCTCTGGGATGGCCAATGCCAGGACAAGGGGCAATGGTCCCAAGCTGGAGCACAGGAGGTTCAAGCTGAAGATGAGGCCAAACTTTGTGAGTGTGAGGGTTATGGAGCATGGCCCAGGCTGCCCAGAGAGGTTGTGGAGTCTCCTTGTGTGGAGACACCCAAAGCCCTGGCCGTGTTCCTGTGTGACTGCTCTGGTGATCCTGCTCTGGCAGGGCTTGCACTGGGGGAGCTCCAGAGGGCCCTGACAACTCCTGACATGCTGTGACTCTGTGAACCTATGCCCAGCCACCAAAGTCTCCACAGAGTTAATCACTGCCAGCTCACATAGGGTCACGCCAGTTTGGGCAGCCCCCTTGCTGAGATGGCACAGGTACAGTGCAAACTGCATCATCCCCGGCTCCCAGGACACACTGGTGGGGACAGCTTCTTCACACCCCCAAACCATGCACTGCACTGTGCTATAGCACAGCATCCATGGTCACACTGCTTTTGAAAGGTGTGGGAGGGGAGCAGCCCCATGGATTCAGAGAGATCCAGTGAATTTAGATGAGACATCAGGCAGAAATTCTCCCCTGTGAGGTGGTGAGGCCCTGGCCCAGGGTGCCCAGAGAAGCTGTGGGTGCCCCCTCCCTGGCAGTGCCCAAGGCCAGGTTGGACGGGGTTTGAGCAGCCTGGGCTGGTGGAGGTGTCTCTGCCCATGGGGGTTGGACTGGGGGGGGTTTGAGGTCCCTTCCCACCCAAACCACACTGTGGTTCTGTGAAATGCTGCGTGCTCTCTCATGTTGGAAACCTTAGGAACATCATCTCGGTGTGTGCACAACTTGATTGCTCACATAGATTTGAACGCTTAATGCACGTCAGTTTAATTCCTGCCTTTTCCAGGAAGCTTTTGAGGGTTGGGCACAGGAAGAAACGGTTATTTTAGTTCTATCTTCAGATCTGTGGGGTTTCAGGGCTAGGCGGTGAAGCTTTGCTAGCTAATAATATGGAAAGGAAAGTGAGAAAAGTGGAGAGCCCAAGCCCGTGGTTACACACCTTGTTACTCAGCGTTTCGATCTTCTCCTGGTCTAGTCGGTGCTGCCGACTGTAGGCTTCGGCTGTCAGAGACACCCTCTCCACCTCCCGATTGAGCACGCAGACGATGTTCTCAAAGGTCACCGTTTTCCTCTCCAGGGCCTCGCATCTCCCCAAGAGCTCCAGGGACCTGGAGAGCTCCGACTCTGAGCACAGAGAGTTTTCTGCCAGCAGCGGGGAGCTGCTTTGCGATGAGGAAAGGGCACGAAGAGGCTTGAGGTCTCCAGACCCAGCCTTGAGGCTGAGGACGAAACTCAGCAGCATGTAGAGATGCTCCGCCAAACACTTGCTTTCGTGTTCTGGCAGCTTTTCATTCTCCACCTACATGAAGAGAAACGCATTCCCCTTTCAGCAATCAATCGAGGCTGTCATCATCCACAGAATGATTTATTCCTCCTGAGGTCTCAACGTTAGCTTGAAATTATGACGGCGAAAAGCCAAAGAGCGATTGTTTCAGACCTGTTTTGAGGGTAGGGGTGGGGTTTCTGTTGTGTTAGAAATGCTGCAATCGCGTACAGTGATGGATGCTGCACGCTTGCCCAGCTGTACACACTGTTCTTCCTCCAGTACTTCCCCAAAAGGGCTGTGTCAGATGTACTTAACAGCACCAAAGGACAAAGCCTCACGCAATGCCCTGGAGGAGGGGTTGATATGAACATCACCCATAGGAGCTGGGAAAACCAAGTCACACAGAGAAACACGGCCTGGCCCCGGTTCTGTGCTTACAGCTGAAGGCAGCACAACCACCAGTCCTGGAGCACTCAGGGCGTTCCTCAAGAAGGAGGTTTCCTTCCACATTAATTCTCTGGACAGCAGATGATGCTAAGCTCCGTTTTTGAACCACCACTTGGCTAAAATATCTGCACACAAACACCTGTAAGGGTTTGGGTGACAGCAGCCTGCGGGTTATCTCTAGCACTGGAACTGCAAACAAGTCCCGAGACGAACATCAACAGGCAAGCCCTTACCACCTCGGTGCATCCAACAACCTCAAATCTGCAAGGCACTTTAGATCTGCCACAGCTCTTCACGTGGTCCCGGAACTAGGAAGGAAGGCAGACAACGTCAGATCTCACCTATCCCCAGTAGCTCCATCAGACAAAACGCCCAAGCCATCACTAAGCACCAGTGCCAGAGCGTGGTTAAACCTGGACACTGCCCACCATCAGCTATGGCTTTCACTGCAATATAAATACAGCACCAACACTTGGAAGTTTTATTTCTCTTCCTCTGGACAGCTGGGAGCTGTCGCTTCTCACCTGCGTAGGCAAGAAATTAAAACACAACCAGCACAGGTACAAGTTATGGATGCTGAACAACAAAAATCCACTGAGGGCAGAGGAACAACCCGAGGAAACAGAGCCATTTAATTCTCTGCACTTCACGTAACCCTGGCTGGGATGTGTTACAGCTTAGGGTTTTTACTCCCATTATACATCTGAGAACAAGCAGCTTCCCAGCAACCCACAGCAGGGTCCAGCATCCCCTCACTGAGGTGCCAAAGGACGCTGCACCTCAGCCACCCCTCATGTGGCAGCTGCCACCAAGCCCCAAGGCCAATGCTTATTTGTCCAGATAAATGCTGCCAAGATGACTCGTTTGGGGTCCCACACGTGGTTAATGCTCACAAGCGCTGGCACATTATCAGCCTGGTTTTGGTGCACCTCTCATCGCCAGACCGCAGTGGTTTGTCCTGAGCAAGCAGCACATTCCACGTTTCACACCTACATCTGCTACACCAGATGTGGATCAAAACTGGTTTGAAACCATTTTTATATAAAAGCTGCTGGATCCACCTGCTGGCTTCAGGAGTTACAATGCCTGCTGCTAACCAACAAAAGCTTGGAGAGAGAGAAAAGGCAGAGTTAATAGTTAAAGGACCTGTGGGGATCCCACAAGCCCAGTCTCTGCTGGGCTCCTCAGCCCGTGGACGAGCAGATCCGTACCCCAGGGTCCCAGCACGAAGCCCTTCCTTACGCTGCCCATTTTGAAGAGCTCTCTGCTCATCTTTTTAGTGCTTCTGTTCCCCCTGCCCTCCTACAAAGGACCTTTTCCAACAGCTCTACTAAAAATACGCGCCCGCAGCAGGCAGGGCAGTTTCACGAACGCGCTTTTTGCAGATGTTTCCCGAAACTTTGATTTCCAGACTTTTGTGCCTTGCTCCAGACCAGATCCCATCACACAACTAAGCAGAAATAAATTAATTTAGCTGCAGATGGGCTCCACTCCCATAACCGCAGCAGCGGTTGGTACCGGTGCTTCACGTGGGGCGCGAGCGCCCTTTAAACCCACGAGCGCGCGTTTCCCACGGAGGTTGTGCACCAACACAAAACTGCCCGTGAGTCACCTTCCCTCGCGCCCTCCCAGCGCTCTGAGCCCTGGGGAAAGGTCACATCCGTGCTCACGGCTGCCACTTGGCTGTTTTCTAAAGGCCTGGCTTTCCCTCGCCGCTGTCAGCCCATCGGGACCCCAAGATGCGGTTCCCCCACGGCCGGATACCTTCTCCCTCGGGATCTTCCTCCCACAGCCTTCGCAAGTCAGCGGGAACTCAGGGCAGACCTCGTCGTGAGCCTGCGAAAGAACGGACAGGAGAATAAATGGGTTCAAGAAATCAAAGCTCTGGTGAGGTGACACGATGGGTACAATCCTACAGACGTAGCTTTATGTTTCATTGCAGAAAAGCACTGTATTCTACCAACCCAGATGCAAATCTTGCTCAGGTTGATAACTCTGCGTTCATCACTCGTGCGATCTCCAGGTGACCACAATTTTGGGTGCCTGTGTAGCCTCAGTGTAAGAGCTGCTAGAATATTTTAGAAAAATACCAAATTACTGCTTTGATGGCCAAGACACCCAACAGGAAGCTCCACTGATGGCTCTGCCAGGGGCACACACGTTCGGGCAGGTCGAGTGAAGTAAGCCACTATCTCAGCAAGATAATTTGGATAATTTTTCCACGGTAATGGTTATCGCTCAGCTCAAGTATGAGCCCATAGCTTACTCATCACATGCTGGGCTGAGCTGTCCGGTAGCATCTTCACATGCGCATCAGAAAACCATTTCTCAAGCGGGAAGAAAAGCGGTTTAAAACTGTTTCATTTAACAGCCCCTGCGCACGAGCCCCCAGCCCTGCAGCAGGAGCAGCCGCTGCGTGTTTGGCAGCCAGAGGAGCTGAAGAAATGAGCAGGGCAATGTGATACCCTGGCCTCAGCAGATACCGGCTAAATTGGGAATGCTGGAACGCGCCTCTGCTCTCTGGGCCGTTTCCACGCCGCTTAATCCTTCTCTTTACACACCAACCAGTTGCAGCAAGGCGCTGTAAACGCCATGGGTACGCAGTTCAATATTTGTATTGAAAGATAAGCGTGCTGAAGTATCCTGCCGTGGCAATAACAGGAAAACAAGCAGAAGCGTTTATAAAGCAGTCGTTTGAAACCAGACGCCTTGAAAACTCGGTCACATTTATTATTAAAAGAAGTTACTATCTCAGGGGAGGAGGGGGAACATGCACAGACTTACACGCTGCTACCACATCAGAAACTGGAAAGTGAAACCCATTAGCAGCTCAGCTTTGGCTTGAGTTACTCTCTCCTTTTTATACTTCACATGAGGAATGGGATTTAAAGCCTCCTCGCACTGTCCACGGACAAGTGACCAGGGCCTGTCCCTGCACCGCCGCCTGCAGAGGAGGTGGAGGAGGCAGAGCCCTGGCTTCCATCCCTCTCGCTTGCAGGGGCTGAGCCCTTTCTTCTGCCCACCTACGGCTCTCAGGCTCTAGCAGCACCAGATAGCATCTTCCCTGCGACCCACAGAACGCTGGCGCAAGAACAGACGAGTCTGGCTGCAGGAAGGAAACTCCACTGCGGAGACAACTATTTAAAAAAGGAGTATTTAAAACCTATGCTCCCCCCTGCCAGCACACTGGCTGTGAAACTACCAGCCCCTCCACACTTATCATCCATCCCGACTCCATGCTACACCACGAGTTCATGCTGCAAGGGCAGCCCTGTGAAGCATGCCCAGCCTGCAGCACGAAGGGAAACCAGCCCGGCACGGCCAAGCTGAAAAGTGCAACTGGTCCACATGTAAATTGTTTAAGACACCCAGAAGCATCGGCTTCAACCAGCACAGCTCCAAAGCTCCAGACAAGCAGTTTTGTATAAACAGTTTCAGGCTTTTCTGGAATCCCCTGTTCCTTCCCTCTCTTGGCGGGTGTCTAAACCGAGAGGCCGCTATTGCTGCCGGAAGAAATCCACCCCACCCAGGAGCCCACGAGCAGGGGCTGGCATTCCCATCTGATCTGCCACGCTCCACTCCCCCAGGAATGGGGCAATCCTCCTGTTTACACCTTGCCCGAACCCACATCCGTCAGCTTCTGCAGCACGGACGAGCCTCTCCGATGCTCGGGCATTTGCTGTGAACGTTTTGGGCAGCTCTGGAAAGCCACCACTGTGACCATGGCCAGGTGAGAGCCCAGTCGCTCTCCCAGAGTGAACGTGTCCTGGTTCAGACTGGGGTTGGAGAGAGGGAATGGCAATAAAGAATTAAAGCAGAGCTGGAGGACAAGGGTCTGGCTCAGACCTTCAGGTTACCTCGGTGCTGACTGCTCACCCACCGAGGCACAGACCAACCCGCAGCACCCAACAGCAGCAACACCAAACCAGGCAGAGTTAACAGCCTGCACATCACCACCACCACCTCGCTCTTCCCACTCAGTTAAACCCCAAAGTGTCCATCGATGCACACATCAACTGCACTCCCTAAAAACAAACTGCGACACAACCCGGCGGCAGCCTGCACACCATCTGATGCCAGCAGCACGAGCAATTCTCCTGGACCCGAAATTCAGACACCGTCCCCGACTTCAGAGGGACCAGGACAGCCCAGGAGCACCAGCTCTGTGTGCAGCTCATGGGTCACCACCATGGTCACTCAGCTCCCCAGTGCCTGGAGCAGTACCATGGGGCTGCGATGGATGTGCTGAGCCCTCTTCCCTTGCTGCTTTCTAGAGCAGGAAAACAAGAGTGATTCGCAGTGTTTGCAACTGAGGTTTCTCTGGGGACGCTCCTGGGATCAGCTCCCTACACCCCAAGCACT